AATTGTTGTAATAAATGAAAAATAATATATAAATATTAAGGAAAATAAGAAATTCCTAAAAAGATGAAAACACCTAAAAATATATTGGTGAGTTATGACGATAAAAATAAATTGGAAAAGCCGGGTATCAAACCCCATAGCTCTAACTTACAAAGCGAGCACTCTACCGTTTGTGCTACATCCCATTTGTTAGTGATGATAATAACTGTTGGAATACAATAGAATTAAAAATTAAAAATAATAAATAAATATGAAAGAAAATAAGAAATTCCTGAAAATATCAAAACACCCTAAAATATATTGGTGAGTTGTGAGGATAAAAATAATTTGGAGATGCTGGGTATCGAACCCCGTACCTCTCGCATGCTAAGCGAGCGCTCTACCGTTTGAACTACATCTCCATTTCTTCATTATAATAGTAATTATCGTAATAAATTAAAAATAATAAATAATAAAAAAATATGAAGGCAAATTAGAAATTCCTGAAAACATCAAAATACCCTAAAATATATTGGTGAGTTTTGGGGGTAAAATAATTTGGAGATGCGGGGTATCAAACCCCGTACCTCTCGCATGCAAAGTGAACGCTCTACCATTTGATCTTCATCCTCATTTGTTAATTATGATAGTAATTGTTATAATAAATGTAATTAAAAATTTTAAAATAATAAATAAAAATGAAAGAAAATAAGAAATTCCTAGAAAGATCAAAACACCTTAAAATATATTGATGAGTTGTGAGGATAAAAATAATTTAGAGATGCGGGGTATCGGTCCCCATACCTGTCACATGCAAAACAAGCGCTCTACCGTTTGAGCTACATCCCCATTTCTTAATTATGATAGTAATTGTTATAATAAATTAAAACAAAAAATTAAAAATAATAAATAAAAATGAAAGAAAATAAGAAATTCTTGAAACGATCAAAACACCCTAAAATATATTGGTGAGTTGTGAGGATAAAAATAATTTGGCGATGCGGGGTATCGAACCCCGTACCTCTCGCATGCAAAGCAAGCACTTTACCGTTTGATCTACATCCCCATTTGTTAATTATGATAGTAATTGTTATAATAAATTTAAATTAAAAAAATTAAAAGATAATATATAAATATGGAAGAAAATAAGAAATACCTGAAAAGATCAAAACACCCTAAAATATATTGGTGAGTTGTGAGGATAAAAATAATTTGGAGATGCAGGGTATCGAACCCCGTACCTCTTGCTTGCAAAGCGATCGCTCTACCGTGTGAGCTAAATCCCCATTTGTTTATTATGATAGTATTTGTTGTAGTAAATTAAAATTAAAAATAATAAATAAATATGACAAAAATAAGAAATTCCTAAAAAGATCAAAACACCCTAAAATATATTGGTGATTTGGGAAAATAAAAATAATTTTGAGATCTAGGGTATCGAAGCCCGTACCTCTCACACGCAAAGCGAGCGCTCTTCCGTTTGAGCTACATCCCCATTTGTTAATTATGATAGTAATTATTATAATAAAATAAAATTAAAAAAATTAAAAATAACATATAAATATGAAAGAAAATAAGAAATTCCTGAAAAGATCAAAACACCCTAAAATATATTGGTTAGTTGTGAGGATAAAAATAATTTGGAGATGTGGGGTATCAAACCCCATACCTCTCGCATGCAAAGCAAGCATTCTATTGTTTGAGCTACATCCCCATTTATTAGTTATGATAGTAATTGTTATAATAAATTAAAACAGAAAAATTAAAAATTAAAAAAAATGAAAAATGAAAAAAAAAAGAAATTCCTGAAAAGATCAAAACACCCTAAAGTATATTGGTGAGTTGTGAGGATAAAGATAATTTGGAGATGCGGGGTATCGAACCCCGTACCTCTTGCAATCAAAGCGAGCGCTCTACTATTTTAGCTACATCCCCATTTGTTAATTATGATATTAATTGTTATAATAAATTAAAATAAAAAATTAAAAATAATATATAAATATGAAAGAAAATAAGAAATTCCTGAAAAGATCAAAACACTCTATAATATGTTGGTGAGTTGTGAGGATAAAAATAATTTGGAGATGCGGGGTATTGAACCCCATACCTTTTGCATGCAAAGCAAGCGTTCTACCGTTTGAGCTACATCCCCATTTGTTAGTTATGATAGTAATTGTTATAATAAATTAAAACAAAAAAAATAAAAATAATAAATAAAAAATGAAAGAAAATAAGAAATTTCAGAAAAGATCAAAACACCCTAAAATATATTGGTTAGTTGTGAGGATAAAAATAATTTGGAGATGCAGGGTATCAAACCCCGTACAGCTTGCTTGCAAAGTGAGTGCTCTACCATTTGAGCTACGCCCCCATTTGTTAATTATGATAGTAATTGTTGTAATAAATTAAAATTAAAAATTAAAATTAGTAAATAAATATGAAAGAAATTAAGAAATTCCTGAAAAGAGATCAAAACACCCTAAAATATATTGGTGAGTTGTGATTATAAAAATAATTTGAAGATGTGGGGTATCGAACCCTGTAGCTCTCACATGCAAAGCGAGCGCTCTATCGTTTGAGCTACATCCCCATTTGTTATGATAGTAATTGTTGTAATAAATTAAAATTAAAAATTAAAAATTAAAAATAATAAATAAAAATTAAAGAAAATAAGAAATTCCTAAAAAGATCAAAACACCCTAAAATATGTTGGTGAGTTGTGAGGATAAAAATAATTTGGAGATGCCGTGTATCGAACCCCGTACTTCTCGCATGCAAAGCAAAAGCTCTACCGTTTGAGCTACATCCCCATTTGTTAATTATGATAGTAATTGTTATGATAAATTAAAATTAAAAAATTAAAAATAATATATAAAATGAAAGAAAGTAAGAAATTCCTAAAAAGGTCAAATCACCCTAAAATATATTGGTGAGTTGTGAGGATAAAAATAATTTGGAGATGCGGGGTGTCAAACCCCATACCTCTCGCATGCAAAGCGAGCGCTTTATCATTTGAACTACATCCCCATTTGTTAATTATGATAGTAATTGTTGTAACAAATTAAAATTAAAAATAGTAAATAATAAATAAATATGAATGAAAATAAGAAATTCCTAAAAAGGTCAAATACCCTATAATATATTGGTGAATTGTGAGGATAAAAATAATTTGGAGATGCGAGATATCGAACCCCGTACCTCTCACATGCAAAGCCAGCGCTCTACCATTTGATCTACATCCCCTTTTGTTAATTATGATAGTAGCTAGTATAATAAATTAAAATTAAAAATTAAAAATAATAAATAAATGTGAAAGAAAATAAGAAATTCCTGAAAATATCAAAACACCCTAAAATATATTGGTGAGTTGTGAGGATAGAAATAATTTGGAGTTGCAAGGTATCAAAGCCCATATGTCTTGTTTGCAAAGTCAGCGCTCTAACGTTTAAGCTACATCATCATTCGTTAATTATGATATAATTGTTGTTATAAATTTAATTTAAAAATTAAAAGTAATAAGTAAATATGAAAGAAAATAAGAAATTCCTGAAAAGATCAATACACCCTAAAATATATTGGTGAGTTGTGAGGATAAAAATAATTTAGAGATGCAGGGTATTGAACTCCATACCTCTCGCATGAAAAGCGAGTACTCTACCGTTTAAGGTACATCCCCATTTGTTAATTATGATAGTAATTGTTGTAATAAATTAAAAATAATAAATAAATATGAAAGAAAATTTGAAATTACTGAAATGATCAAAACACCCTAAAATATATAGGTGAATTTTGAGGATAAAAATAATTTGGAGATGTGGGTATCGAACCCCATACCTTTCACATGCAAAGCGAGTGCTCTATCGTTTGAGGTACATCCCCATTTGTTAATTATGATATTAATTATTATAATAGATTAAAATAATAAAAAATAGAAATTCCTAAAAAAATCAAACACGCTGAATTGTAAGGATAAAAATAATTTGAAGATGCGGAATATCAAACCCCATACCTCTCAAATGCAAAGCCACCACTATATCATTTGAGTTACATCCCCATTTGTTAATTATAATAGTAATTGCTATATTAATAAAATAATATCTTTTTCTGCCACAGTAACTGGCGCAGAAATTCGAGACGGTAAGAATTTCGTGTATCGGAGCATTTGCTGTTAATTGTTATTATATGATTTCTTTCTGAAAAAAGTCAAAAACACTTCACATAGTGAGAAATTCAAGATTCAGAAAATGTATGGAGAGGCCAACAATACAGTCAGTCACATTTACTTCATTCTTCTCCAAGACATGAGTAAAATCTTCTTGGTTCCCTCGTCGAGAAATGGAAACCCCGTGACTCTGTACCCAAATCATGTCAATTCTTACTCCATGAGAAAACTGTAGAGATACAATATATACTACAGTAGATCAGTATTAATTTTGTTATTTGAGTGTGGTCCCATGTGGTTCTTATTTGTGTTTATTGCTGTTTTTGTTATTTTCTTTTTTTTTCCTACTGCACAAACTAGTGGCCTGGCACCCTTTCCCTTTTCTCTCTTCTCTCACAGCCTTGTACAACTTCACCAAAGCAACCACCACTTGAAGCCATTTGCACTGTTGTCCGAGTGCAATTACCATAACCATTTTTCTTCCATGATGAGAGATGTTCACTGTTGTTTGGTTGTTTTTATAATGCTTAATTTCTAAATTCTTTGCTAAAATCAATAAATCATTGTTTCCTTGTTCTCTATACTATGCTATTGCTATTACTAAATACAAATGGAGAATTGGTGGCATGCCAGATTAGGATGCCTTCAGGGGACTGAGGCATTATTTTCTTGGCGACTGATCTATCCCACTTTTATAAAGACAAATGGCAACAAATTCTGAATACTGTGTAATTTACATGAAGTCTTAATTATAATATACATCACTTGGGAAATACCAATACATGCAATTTTTTATAATAAATAAAAAAGAAAATTTATAAGATGAAGAAGAAGAAGAAGAATACAGGTAAAAAAAAAAAACATTTCTTTCTTATTAGGTGGTAAGATCTTCCCCAGAAAGAATTTTGTGGAGTTGTTTTGCTGTCCATGTTACCTCTACAAGGCTTCGTAGGGGAATCACAATCTCATCAGCAATCTTCATTAGCAGAACCCTGCATTCTACAACAGAAAAAGGGGAATGAGAGTTTTAGTTGTCAATCTATAGATGCCGATGCCTTTCAAGTAGGCACTTGGAGGAGATTGAAATTGGATATGCAGACTTGCATCCAACCTTAAACAAGCAGGTACATTCATTGAATGGATATACATATATCCATATATCATCATGCACACAAATGCCCTTTTTAGATGTGTCTACATAAATACAAGCTCTGGTGTGCTGTGCACGTTCTTATGCACACCAGTCAGCAATGGACTGCTGTCCATCCCATGTGTTATGCACCTGGGCTTGTGTAAAAGTCAAGTGAGAGCTGTAAGGCCTCTCTATACGAGTCTAGAGCCATAAAATGCAGGAAGGAAGTTGTTCGTCACTGTATGCATATTGATGTGCACAGCACCTTTTGTACGGAAGATCCAAACTCCATAAATTCATAGATAAATATATTCACAGCCTATATGCACGAGTGTGCTTTCCAATCTACCTATTTATTATCCTTCAGTTCTCAGGGTTCCAGCTATAGTTGCAGATGAGATTGAGAGGATTCAGAAAGAGTTTTTATGGAATTTCAATTCAGAAGTTGAAAAGTTCCATCTTGTTAAATGGTCGGGTCTGCAGGGAAAAGAAGGATGGGGGGATGGGCATTAGGAATGTGAGGGTGATGAACAAGGCATTACTGGGAAAGTGGGAGTGGAGGTTTGGGACTGAGAGAGAAGCGGTTTTAGAGATGGGTGATGGAGAGTAAATTTGGGGTTATTAACTTTGGGTGGGATTTGAGGGAGGTGGCTTCATCTTATAGTGTGGGGGCTTGGAAGGGTATTATGAAATTTCATTATTTGATGGCCAATTTGACAGGACGGAGGGTAAGTTTGGGTAACACCATTAGGTATTGGGAGGATGATTGTTTGGAAATTGGGAAAGCTCAGTGAGATATGTCCAAGACTTTATGATCTAAGTGAAAAGAATATTGTTAGACAACACTCAAAGGTGGATTCGGATGCTAAGGCTAACTTGGATTTGGTCGAGCCTCTTATTACTACCCCAAAGTTGGTTAACAAGGGAGGTTTGGCCTCTGACCCGCTCCCCCCTTCTAGTCCTCCAGCATTACTGGTTGTTCCTCGAACAAACTCAGGTATGTCTGTCTTTTTGGTTTATGGTACTGATGTGGGTGTTGTGTCTGGTGCAGGTACTCTAGCACCTCAATCGGAAGGAGTGGCCTTGGAAAGGAAGGTTTTGGAGGAGGATAGTGAGGGTAAAAGATAGGAGGAGGATATGAGGAAAAGAAAGAATCAAGAGGAGTTGTTGAATATTTGGGATCAAATATGCGCGTATCTTGAGGAGTATAAGCAAAAAGAAGAACTGTTGGAGGGAAATATAGAGACTTACAATCTACTGCAAGGGGTAGCAGAGAAGGTGACTGAAGGCTGCAAAAATGCAAGAGGAGATCTGGCTTTTGGGAAAATGAGGAGGAATTAGAGAGAATTTGGGGACAAATTTGTGCTCTCCTTGAGGAGTATCAAAATGTCGAAGAATCTTTAGAAGAAAGCCCAAGAAATGTGGAGATCTCAAAATTCTCAAGAGTGAACTCAATTAATTCTGGTTTAATACAAAGCCGAAGGAAGAAGAAAAGATCAGAGGTGGAGAGATTGATTTTTGACATAGAGGGAGACTTAGAATTTAGTGGAAGGGGGGAGAGAAGAAAGATTCTTAAATAGGGGCTTGTAACTTGAGGCAGGTGTAGAGAAGATGGGCCGAATGGCCCATAGGCTGTTTATCCTTTTTTTATCTTTTATGTTCTTTGCTGTAATGGGCCTTAATCTGGGCTTATTCTTTCTTATGTTATGTCTTTTTAATTTTCTGCCCAACTAGGGGCTTCTCTGTAAATTACCAAAGTTTAACTTAATAAAAATAGAATTAAGGGTGTAAGAAAAGAGATTATGTTTGAAAATCTCTCTCTCTGAACCCAAGTTGCCGCCACCTTCTTCTTCATCTTCTCTCCTCTTGAACTCTGACTTCTGCTACTTCCTTTTGATTTTTTGCATCTTTCTAAACAGTCATTTCTTCTCAAAATGTTGTTTTTCTACTTGATATTAGAACATGCTCGTTTTTCCTCTCTTTTTTTTTTTTTACCTTTTTTTCCCATACACAGTGTGTATGGAGAACTGAATCGTATGAATAGTTAAAGACACCTATTTCAGCCTAGTTGTTAGTGGTTTCTGGAGAGAAGAGGATTGGCTTTGTCGCCCCCTTGACAGATTAAAGTGTGTTGCCCGAAACCCTAATTTTCTGGAGAAATCTGATTGCGGGCCCCACAAGGAGTTTGACCTGGGCGCTCAGTGACTGAAGGCTTTCTCATTCTCCTTCTTGAAGATCGAATTAAGTGGATTGATGTTCTGTGAAGTCTACAAGGAGCGGCTGAATTTTCTCCGTTTCTCCCAGCTTCCGGGTGTGACGCAGATTACTGGTATGGCTGCATAGAGGTTGGCTCACAACACAGTTTTGTTCTGTCTTCATCTGGTGTTTTTCGAAGTTGTTTGAAGTCATTTTTGAAGTGTTTAAGAAGATGAACTCCTCAGACTTTGAAAACAAGCATGTTGCTGAATCCTGATAGGTTCCGGAAGCCTTTGTAGACTCTCTATTGGCTGTGACCACAGTTAAGCTGGATGGAACTAATTATCTGGCTTGGTCACAATCAGTAAAGATTAATATTTGTAGTAGAGGCAAGTGGGGTTTTATCTCCGGGAGCAAAAAGGCTCCTCCGGAAGATGATCCATCATATGAAAAATGGATGCAAGAAAATTATATTGTTATTGGGTGGCTTGTGAACTCAATGCAACCACAGATTAGTCAGCACTATTTGTGGATGAATTCAGCAAAGGAAATTTGGGATAGTGTTGCTGAAACCTATTCCCAAAAATTAAATGTGGCCAGAGCTTATAAGTTGAGAAGTGATCTGAAGAATTTGAGACAGGGGGAGAAACCATTAGCTGTATACTTCTCAACACTAAAGTCTTTATGGCAAGAAATAGACTTGATAGAAGCTGTAACCTGGGAAACCACTAACGATGTTGAGACCTACAGAAAACTGGTTGAGAGAAACAGGGTGTTTGAGTTCTTGACAGGACTAAATCCAGAGTATGATATTACAAAGCAAAATATTTTATCCAAGGTTAGTGTCTCATTGTCTCAGGCATATGCCTTGGTAAGTAGTGAAGAAAGCAGAAGACTTGTCCATGTTCAAGGGGCTGGTCTAAATGATCACTTTGCTAATATGGGAGTGAAACCCAAGGGGGTTGCAGGGACCCCTTTTATTTATGGTCGCTCTATACATAATAACATAAGTTGGCGCCGCCAGACAAATTAAAACTCTCCAAACCTTTCTCTTCTCTCTCTCCTCTTCTTCTTCCTTATTTCTTCTCTTTTCTTCTGCTAATATGGTAGCAGAGTGGTTCTACTGTGTCTGAGAGCAGATCAAACTAGTTCTTTCTTCTTTACCTTGTTGTCTTCTTTACAAGTTTTCTTTACCTTTTTTTCCTTTCCCTTGATTGTGTACAAAGAAAAATCCTATGAAACAAGACTGCTCAATGCAGTCAGAGGAATTGTGAGGTTCAGACCTCTTTTCTATGGATTGTGTGATCCTGTACCTGAGAATGGGTTACTTGTAGGTCACGAATGACCTGTTTTTGCCAAGTTTTGGTGTGACTTAACTGCTTTGTGATCTCTCCTAGCAGTTGGTGTGTTTAGGTGATTTGGAAAATTGGTGGATTGGGACTGTTAAACTTGTGCAGTGCTGAAATCAACCTGAAATATTTTTTAAGAGAATTGGAGCTGGTCTGTGTTCAGATTGTATCCAGATCAGAGTGTGTGCATGTGGACTGCATCTCTAGTGTGTTTTTTGGACCTTTTTGGGTATTAGGACTTTAGGAGAGATCTTAAGGTGTGTGTTGAAACTGAAAAGTGTTCTCTTGAATCATGTCCTCTGAGAATTCTGCAACTTCTGGGATTTCAGGAGGTCAAAACGAAATGAGTGTGGGGGATGGATATGAGTTTCCCCATGGCTGTAATTCCCTTTCATGGACTAAACTACCATGAATGGTCTAGGGGAATTAAACTTTACATTACTGCTAGGGGGAAAATAGGGTATATCAATGGTAAAGTAAAGGAACCAAAGTCTGGAAGTGTTGAACATGACAGGTGGGACCAAGAAAATAGTATGGTGATGTCATAGCTCTTGGTTTCTATGCTGCCACAAGTAAGGAAGACATTTATGTGGGCTGAAACAGCTTGTGAAATATGGGAACAAGCAAAATCTACCTATTCAGAGCATAGGCACTATGCAAGGATATACCAATTACAAGTTGAATCCTCCACCTGCAAGTAGGGAGAGAGGAGTCTCTCGGTGTACTACTCAGATCTGACATCAATCTGGAAGGAACTGGATCATTATCAAAATGTGAATTGGAAGTGTGGTGAAGATGCAAAGGCCTACAAGTCACTTGTCTACCAACAACGAGTATTTGCTTTTCTTTTGGGGCTGAATCCTATATATGAGTTCATGAGGGTACAAATCTTAGGAAGTAAGAACTTACCTTCAGTTTAGGAAGTTTATGCCTTAGTTCAGTCTAAAGAGAGTAGAAGAAGTGTGATGAATTGTACAGAGGGGGAGCCGGTTGCACTAGCAGTCTGAGGAGGTACAAATTAAAATGTCAAAGGCCCTTTTAAGAAGGGTGATTCACAGAAGAGAGTGGATGACAAAGACAAGCTTTGGTGCACCCACTATTAGAAGTCCAGGCACACTAGAGATACATGTTGGGAACTCCATCGCAAGCCAAAATGGGCTCAAGAATTGGGTAAGAAATCAACATCTAATCAGAGTAAGAAGCTAACCCAGTAGAGCCAGAAGAAATATAACTTAACAAATGTGGCATCTCCGAGACTAGCCCCATGGTACCCCAGGAACGACACTCTGGTTCTGACCCCAAGGAAGAAATTATCAACTCCT